TCTCAGATCAGGGTGGGCCTGAAGCAGGCAGCAGATCTAAAGGCCAGGGGCACAGCAGATCCCTATGCCCGAGTCAGCCTCTCTACCCAGGCCAGGCACAGCCATGAGACAAAAGTACACAGGGCCACGCTGTGCCCTGTGTTCAACGAAACCTGCTGCTTCCACGTGAGTCTCCATGGGGTGGGCTGGCTGGGCCCGGGCCAGGGCAGGAAGGGCCCGGCTCATTCCACTGTCCTTAGGTCCCACAGGCAGAGCTCCCTGGGACAGCGCTACAGGTGCAGCTGCTCGACTTCAAGCGCTTCTCTGGGCACCAGCCACTGGGTGAGCTCAGCCTGCCACTGGGTACCGTGGATCTGCAGCACGTCCTTGAACGCTGGTACCAGCTGGGGCCTCCGGGCACTGCTGAGGTGAGGTTGCTAAATACCTGCCTGCAGCCCTGAGACAGAGATGCGGGGCCCTGCCCATGCGTAATCACAGACTGAGGCACAAAGGGTAACAGCTGCAGGGATCTGAACCCCAAGGGCAACTTCCGCCTGGGTTGAAGCCCCCTCTTGTTGCCCACAGCCTGAGCAGATGGGAGAGCTGTGCTTCTCACTCCGGTATGTGCCCGGTTCTGGCCGGCTGACCGTGGTTGTCCTGGAGGCCCGCGGCCTGAGTCCAGGACTGGCAGGTGAGTGCCACACCTGCCCACTCAGGTGAGCAGAGGTGGAACTCTCAGAGCTGGGACACTATCCCTTCTCCTGCTCAGAGTCCTACGTGAAGATCCAGCTCATGCTGAACCAGAGGAAATGGAAGAAGAGGAAGACTTCCGCCAAGAAGGGCACAGCTGCCCCCTACTTCAATGAGGCGTTCACCTTCCTCGTACCCTTCAGCCAGATCCAGGTGGGCTGCTGGAGGATGGGGTGGGTGGGACCTTGTGCTGGGCCAAACTGACCATGGTCTTTCTCTCCCTGTCCAACCACTGGCCTGTCTCTGCCTAGAGTGTGGACCTGGTGCTGGCCATCTGGGCCCGTGGCCTGCAACTGAGGGCTGAGCCCATGGGCAAGGTATTGCTTGGCACCCGAGCCTCAGGCCAGCCCCTGCAGCACTGGGCAGACATGCTGGCCCATGCCCGGAGGCCTATCACTCAGTGGCACCGCCTGCAGCCTGCCAGGGAGGTGGACCACGCCCTGGCCTTGCAGCCCCGCCTGCGCCTGCCCTTGCCTCTCTCCTGAAAGCCTTCTGTGCCTCTGTCTCCCCAGAGTGAGCTGTGAGCACCTGTCTGGGCTCCCCTGGGGAAAACCCACTGCAATAAATGCTTTCTCCGGCCACTGTGTGTCCTGCTCAAGCCCTGTGGGGACACAGAAGGAGAGCTGGGCCTCCACCCTCAGTACCATGGTCCCCTCAAGGGTGGGGTGTATGTGAGGGGCCTCTTCTTCAGACTCAGCCAGGTCCTAAGGCCTCTAACCTCTGCCTGACCCCTTTGTGGGGATGGGGGGTGGTGGGGTGTAGTGGCCGAGCAAGAGATGCGGTGCTTTCCAGCCCACCCAGGAAGAAAGGAGGTGGACACCCTTCCTATCCATCGGGGCCAGAGAATTGGGGACAGCAAGGGAGGAAGTGGGCCCCACAGGAAAACAGTGGGTAGGCAACGGGACAGCATTTGGGAGGTAGTGACAGGGGAGGGAGAGAACCCCAACACATACTTCCAGAGATCAGTGACTGTAGGGCCTTCCGCATGTGAGCAGCAGGGGGCAGTAGACACCTTCTGAAGCTGCCTGGGGCCTTTGGGGGCTCAGCCCTGGCCCGGGATGCACCTTCTAATCCCTGCACATCTGGACGGCTTTAGTGTCTCCAAAGCTTTCTGCATCTTGAAGCCCGCAGGGCTGGGGCCACGTGCCCCAACACTCAGAGACGGTGCCAAGTCACGGTCCTGGGGTGCCTCTCCAGGGTGGGGGCCCATGGGGTGGGTGGGGGGACAAAAGTCCTGGCCCAGGTGAGAAGGGCAATGCCAGGCTTGCCCAGGCAGCCAGGCGGGTCCCAAGCCCCCACAGGTCAGAGAGAGGTTCCCAGGGCGGGTGGTGCCACTGTCCTCTAGTTGAAGGACGTGTTCCAAGTTGCCCAGGCGAAGGGCCCATGGGCAGGGCGTTCAGGGCAGGCCAGGAAGGGTTGAACTGCACATCCAGGGCATCTACCACCCTTCTGCCTCTGCTCCTGCTCCTGCTTCTGCTCCCTGGCGGGAAGGAAGGTTCACACGAAGGGGAGAGGAGCCCCCAGTGCCCCAACACTGTGGCACGGAAGCCATGTTTGGGGGTCCAGACCCTACCCGTGAGCTGGATTTACAAAGGGGAGGCATATGGCCAGCTTGAGCAGGAAGGGTGGGTCCCAGCTGGGGTGGGCCCCAGCTGAAGTGGGCGATGGTCCAGTATAGGGGCCCACAGGGAAAGGCGCTGCTGTCTCCCCAAACAGCATGCAGGCTGGGAAGGAGCACAGCCCTGGGGGCTAAAATGGAAGGGTGGATTTGACACTAACTTGCAGGCAAGATGGAACCAGCACAGTGCAAGTGACCCCGAAGCTGACCCCTGAGCTGTGTGCCTCACCAAGGCCCACAGCAAAGCCACACACACTGTCCTCAGGCTCCTTGCAAGAACGTGGGAGGCATCTCAGCCTCGTCACTGAGCCCTAAATAGAGCAACCCAACCTCAGCACCCCCCCCACCACCAAGACTTCTTGGACTGGATGGCAGCACGTGGCCAGCAGCAAGCGCCTGGGCTGGGCCAGGCCAGGCGGCCTGGGCAGGTGGGGAGGTCTCTCCGGCTCTCTGTGCCCCCATTGGTCTAAGGAAGACTCCATGCCCTTTCTGAGCAGGGGCCCAGCCTGGGGGAGCCCATTTATACCCCTCCCTCTGGGCCCACCAGCCCAACTCGCCGCTGCGGGCCTGCCCTTGCTCCCAGCCCTGCTGCCCAGACACTAGGTGAGGCCCGGCCTGGCCCACAGAGCCAGAGGACAGGGAGCTCCTGGAGCTCCCTTGCAGGAGGATTTCCAGGGCAGGGGACTGGGGGCTGGGGGTTTCTGCCAGAGCTATCTCAGGCGGGGGCTTCCCTGGAGCTGGGAGTGAGAAGGAGATGCTGGGGAAGGAGCCTAGGATGGGGCAAGGGTCTTGGACAGGCCTCTGATGGCCAGGCATCGTGCTGAGGACCCTGAAAGGAGAGTTTACCTCAAGGCAGGAGCCCCCCAGGCCAATCTAGGGAACAATTTTCTTGCATGCACTTAGGCCTGAAGCCAAAGGAGCAGAGTTAAAAATAACAGTGTGGCCTGTGGCCACCTGCGCTGGCTCATCCCACCCCCCCTTGGGGACAGCTGCAGCTCCTCAGGCCCTGCCTTGGACATTGTGGGGACACTTTCTCGTCTTACTTCTCACCCTAGGTTATTCCAAGACATCCCAATCTTGAAGGAGATCAGAACTGGGGACGGGCAAAAGGGGGCAGATTAGTATGAAGCCTGCACCCCTCACTGCCCACTGGGTGCTGGCATCTATGGGGAGGGGGCCTGACTCCTCTCCTTTCTCTTCTGCAGGTTCTAAACTCAGGACCTCAGGATGGGGGAGTAAGTTGTCCATCAAGCCCCCTCCCTAGTAGGAACCCTTGCCCACCCTCCTGCCCCCAACATTTGCCCATCACACACCCTGTCACTACTCCCCCAGTCATGGCGCTAACCTCTCTTCTCTCTCCCCCTCCTCTCTTTGTTCTCCTTCCTGGGACAGTGAGGAGGTGAGTACCTGCTTGGGGGGTCTGAAACGTGGAGGAGATGGGACCCCTCCACACTTGGGATGAGTCAGAGATCAGAACTTCAAGGCCCTGAGGCCCAGAGAAGACACCTGCGCCCCCTCCTGGCTCCTCTGTCCCTCCACACACACCCCTGTGAAAGTGCCCCACCCACCCATGAAGATGCTGAAGAAAGAGCGGAAGTGGCCACCGGTGCTTTATGGACAGGGGAAGTGGGCTGTGGCCTAGTCATGGGGGAGACACTTCTTCTTTCTGATTTCTGCACCCCCAAACCCCCCGACACTTCATGGCCTCCGACCCCTCACTGCCTCAATGCCCCAACATGGCTCCTCCAGATCCAGGCCTTTCTGCCCCATGTGCCACTTGGAGTGTCACCCACCACACCATACTATGTCCCTGGAGGCCTCTACTCCATAACCTTGAGAGCCCCCCGTCTCAGCTGCCCAGGGGTGGGAGGTCCCGACCCAGGTTGGGGGGCACAGAGGGTGTGGCGATACACTTCAAGGTCCAGTGGCCCTGACTCTATTCCATCTCCCCCATCCTGCAGAAACGCAACAGGGCCATTACGGCCCGGAGACAGCACCTGAAGGTATGAGCCAGCTCTTAGAGGGCGGCCAGGCAGGGTGGTCGGTGGGGGGCTGGCCCCAGCCCCTCATGCTCAGGCCCACACGTTCACCCCACCTGCAGAGTGTGATGCTCCAGATTGCAGCCACGGAGCTAGAGAAGGAGGAGAGCCGCCGGGAGTCGGAGAAGCAGAACTACCTGTCGGAGCACTGCCCGCCCCTGCACATCCCAGGCTCCATGTCGGAAGTGCAGGTGCCAGCCCCACTGCCCCCCACCCCACAATTGGCCGCAGCACCTCCAGCAGAGAGCTGCCTCTGTTTCCCTAGTTTTCCAAGAGTGCAAGTGGATAGTCAGGGCAGGAGTGTGTGACAGTGGCCATCGTGCTGGGACGGTCACCTACTTACCACCTCACCCCCCAGGAGCTCTGCAAACAGCTGCATGCCAAGATCGACGCTGCTGAAGAGGAGAAGTACGACATGGAGGTGAAAGTGCAAAAGAGCACCAAGGAGGTGAGAGGCTGTGGGGGCGGGGGCCAGGACATGGGGGAGGCAGGGAGGTGGTCCACAGGGGTCCCACCCCCCCAGCCCCACCTGCTTCTCCATCTCCTGCAGCTGGAGGACATGAACCAGAAGCTGTTCGACCTGCGGGGCAAGTTCAAGAGACCCCCACTGCGGAGGGTGCGCATGTCGGCCGATGCCATGCTTAAAGCGCTGCTGGGCTCCAAGCACAAGGTGTGCATGGACCTGAGGGCCAACCTGAAGCAGGTCAAGAAGGAGGACACCGAGAAGGTACGGTCACCTCCCCTTCAAGCCAGCTCTGTCCCCTCACCTGCCCTGCCCTGGGTGGCCAGGTACCTGAGCGCCAGACGGGGAGAATCAAGAGACCCCTTGCCTGATTTACAGAGGGGAAACTGAGGCAGGGGTGGTCTGAACCCAGATTGGTGGAATGGGTGGGACTAAGCCCTCTCCCCCAACCCCAACCCCAGGAACGGGACCTGCGCGATGTGGGTGACTGGAGGAAGAACATTGAGGAGAAGTCTGGCATGGAGGGCCGGAAGAAGATGTTTGAATCTGAGTCCTAGGCTTCTGCTGTTCCCGTACCCCAGTCCCGAGTGCCCTGCTCCCAGCACAGCACACTGCAGGGAAGCTCCTGGACTGAGCCCAGCCCGGGGAGGACCTGGCCTCATTTTGATCTTCAATAAAGGATTCGAACCCCCATGACTAGCCTGCTCTGGTTCTATCCAGCCCCCTTGATGCTCTGCCCTGGGAGCCATCAGAGGGTGGCATACAGTGTGGTAGCAGGGAGCTGGAAAGCCCAAAAGCAGGGGAGGACACAAGGGGTTTGGGAATTTCAGCCTGAGAGAGAGAAGGCTGCTTCCAGGCCCAGACCACGAGCCCAGAAAGGCCCTACAGTGGAATTCCCCTGGACTGCACCCTGGGTTGGTTGGTGTGGTCAGTGATCAGCCCCAGGGGCTCCCCGGGGCTCATCCCAGACATATTCTCTGCCAGCTACAGGGCCTGGAGAAATACAGTCATGGAGGCCTGGGTCATGTTTGAGCTGGGGTTCCCAAGATGAGCTCATTTGTCCTTTGTATGGGGATTCAAAGGACTGCACTGGGCCCCAGAGAGCTGCAGTCCTGCAGGGCCATCATAGGCATGGCTCCTCTAGTACATTGGGCAGCCCCCAATTGTTCCTGAGCTGCCCTTCCTAGGGACCCAGTCTGAGCCCAGGAGCCATGTTGGATCTTGGGGGCCTCACTGCATTCCTGTGTCTGTCTCCTGCCCTGGGCCCTGGGTCCCAGTCTGGAGGATGAGCAATGGGCTGAACTTGCAATCTTGGCTATGACCAGGCTGGTAACAGGGTTAGGGACTGGCATGGTGCTTAAGGTTGGCATGCCCCATCCCTGGCCTTTACTGCTGCTCCGAAAGGCAGACAACCCCACCATGTCAGGGGTACAGCACCCTGGACTGGTTCAGGCCCTTGACTTTGGAGCTAGGCCATGGGCTGGCCTATGCTAGGCTCTGGGCCTCAGACCCCAGACCCTCCCACAGAGACACAAGGGGACAACAGCCCTCCCAGGATGATGGTTGTCCACTGGGCAGGGGGTAGGGTTCTGTGTTCCCATGCTGGAACTGATGACAGATCTAAACTGGCCCCTCGCAGGGCTGACCGAGTTCATGAGTCTCATTTCCGCTCAGCTCTGAGGCCCTGGCCCCATTTCTTCAAGGATGATGTTCCTGACAGGCCCAGATAAGGACGGTTGCAGCAAGGCCACGCTGTCAGCCCATCTCCATGAAGGATGATGCAGTGGGCTGTGAAGGCCCCTCCACTCAGCTCTTTGGTGGGAGCCCAGGATAGATCGGCAGCCAAGTCTCCATCCTTGCCCCCTTGAGGTCCCTGCAATTGATCTGCTGCCCCGGAGATAGGAAGGGCAGCTGCAATTCAGCCTTGGGCTGCCTCTGGAGACTGACGTCAGCCAGCACCCGAGACGGCCTTCACCGCAAACTGCTCCCCACTCCCCCACGCTGGCCCTGGAATGGCCCTGTTCCTTTCAACAGCTCTCCTTCCCCCAGCTCAGAGACCCTG